ATTATTATTATTATTATTATTATTATTATTATTATTATTATTATTATTATTATTATTATTATTATTATTAGTAGTAGTAGTAGTAGTAGTAGTAGTAGTGGTAGTAGTAGTAGTAGTAGTAGTAATAGTAATAATAGTTCTAGTATATAGTAGTAGTATTAGTATATATAAGGCTGTGAGAGCTGAGTGACTCGTGCCTTGAAAGTGCTACGTAAGTGTCACTACTACTACTACTACTACTACTACTACTACTAATACTACTACTACTACTACTGCTGCTGCTGTTGCTGCTGCTGCTACTACTACCAATACTAATGCTAATACTACTACTACTACTACTACCAATACTAACACTGCTACTACTAGTACTAGTATATAAGTAGTGGGTGCGAAATTCATAATACTCAACCACTTGCCCATTAACATAGTAAATATGGGGACGAGGAGGACAGCTTTCATGAACACTTGAGCCTACAAGGAAAAAAGTGATCATATGATGATTCTCATCACAGACCAAGTGAGAAAATACGATCATGCTAAGATAGAGATCAATCTCAGTCCCGATCAAAAATCAACACATAGATGGCCGTCAGGGAACCAACCGAGACAACACACAGATGGTTACCTGGTAACCCACCAACACACAGGTGGTTACCAGGAAACCCACCAACACACAGATGGTTACCTGGGAACCGACCAACACACAGGTGGTTACCAGGAAACCCACCAACACACAGGTGGTTACCAGGAAACCCACCAACACACAGGTGGTTACCAGGGAACCCACCAACACACAGGTGGTTACCAGGAAACCCACAGATACACAGATGGTTACCTGGGAACCCACCAACACACAGGTGGTTACCAGGAAACCCACCAACACACAGGTGGTTACCAGGAAACCCACCAACACACAGGTGGTTACCAGGAAACCCACCAACACACAGGTGGTTACCAGGAAACCCACCAACACACAGGTGGTTACCAGGGAACCCACCAACACACAGGTAACCTACCAGCACACAGGTGACTCACCTGAGGAGAACCAGCCGAAACCCGCAGGCTGCGGGTGGTCGGCGTGGATGAAGGTGATATTTGCTGTTTTGTAGTAGACAGAAGAAACCCGCACGCGGCAGCTAAGTGTCAGCGCCCCACGCCGCAGCCATGCCTCTCGCACCTCCACCTCCACCTCCTGCGGCAGGAGTGTAGCAAAAAAAGTGAGCGACACAGTTGAGTTGGCAGACATTCTTTCATACACAGGTATGGTATACATTATGGTATACATTATAGATAATACAGTCAGTAATGGACAATTCATGACAGAATACAACATAATACAAAATGTATTGCACTGGATAGGCACCTAAAGTCAGTACCTGACCAACCGGGCTGTGGTTCGTACCGACTTCTGGATAGTACTCACCGAGACCTGGATGGTGCGGCCGCGGTGATCAGTCTGAAGGAAGCGCTGAAGACGGGCATGGGACGGGGGACTGGCTGAGTTAAGAGTCCAGGTGATATCTGCGGGTGGGTCTGAATGACCAACCAGGCAGCGGGCGGTTACTAGGTCTCCTGGTCGTACCCGCGCCCTCTCCCCCGCGCCCGCACCCTCCACCACGCTCGCGCTTTCAGTCACCCCCTGGATGCCTCCGTTAACCTCCGGACCCCATAGTGGAATCTCTGGGGGTAAAAAAAGAAAGATCAGAGGGGAAAATCAGATCTATGAAATATCTGATCATTCAGTTGAAGTGTAAGCTCGATCTTCCATTTCCGTGAAGGATGACGACGATCAAACGTGACAATTTGAACGTGTGTGAGGGCTTAGCAATTGTCTGCAGAGGTAAATATCTTAGTAATTACCTCCAGAGGAAAATAACTTAGTAAGTACCTCCAGAGGTAAATATCTTACTGATTACCTCCAGAGGTAAATATCTAAGTAATTGTGCCTGCAACACTTTTTTTAATTAAAATTTTCACTACTTTTTTTTTGACAGGTTGTTGAAAGATAATCCCAAGAGTGACATCTCTCGTACAAATTATAAATGATGCTGATACATTTCGTCTTACTGCTAAAAGTGATTGTCATCGTGGTCATGATGGCTTTTTTTTGGGTCTTGTGCATTAGTGTTACATTAATGCTGTGGTATCTTTCTCACCGTCATTGTCACTCACTACAACACACTGCTCGCTGCTGTCACATTCTCACGCACTACAACACACTACTCGCTGCTGTCACATTTTCACTCACTACAACACACTGCTCGCTGCTGTCACATTCTCACGCACTACAACACACTACTCGCTGCTGTCACATTTTCACTCACTACAACACACTACTCGCTGCTGTCACATTCTCGCTCACTACAACACACTACTCACTGCTGTCACATTCTCACTCACTACAACACACTACATGCTACTGTCACATTCTTACTCACTACAACACATTGCATGCTACTGTCACAGTCTTACTACTACACACTGCTTGCTACTGTCACATTCTCACTCACAACAACACACTGCTCGCTGCTGTTACATTCTCACTCACAACAACACACTACATGCTGCTGTCACATTCTCACTCACTACAACACACTACATGCTGCTGTCACATTCTCACTCACTACAACACACTACATGCTGCTGTCACATTCTCACTCACTACAACATACTACATGCTACTATCACATTCTCACTCACAACAACACACTGCTCGCTGCTGTTACATTCTCACTCACAACAACACACTACATGATGCTGTCACATTCTCACTCACAACAACACACTGCTCGCTGCTGTCACATTCTCACTCACTACAACATAATACATGCTGCTGTCACATTCTCACTCACTACAACACACTGCTCGCTGCTGTTACATTCTCACTCACAACAACACACTACATGCTGCTGTCACATTCTCACTCACTACAACACACTGCTCGCTGCTGTTACATTCTCACTCACAACAACACACTACATGCTGCTGTCACATTCTCACTCACTACAACACACTACATGCTACTGTCACATTCTCACTCACTACTACACAGTGCTCGCTGCTGTCACATTCTCACTCACTACTACACAGTGCTCGCTACTGTCACATTCTCACTCACTACAACACACTACATGCTACTGTCACATTCTCACTCACTACAACACACTACATACTACTGTCACATTCTCACTCACTACAACACACTACATGTTACTGTCACATTCTCACTCACTACAACACACTACATGCTACTGTCACATTCTCACTCACTACAACACACTACATGTTACTGTCACATTCTCACTCACTACAACACACTACATGCTACTGTCACATTCTCACTCACTACAACACACTACATGCTACTGTCACATTCTCACTCACTACTACACAGTGCTCGCTACTGTCACATTCTCACTCACTACAACACACTACATGCTACTGTCACATTCTCACTCACTACTACACAGTGCTCGCTACTGTCACATTCTCACTCACTACAACACACTACATGTTACTGTCACATTCTCACTCACTACAACACACTACATGCTACTGTCACATTCTCACTCACTACAACACACTACATGCTACTGTCACATTCTCACTCACTACAACACACTGCTCGCTACTGTCACATTCTCACTCACTACAACACACTACATGCTACTGTCACATTCTCACTCACTACAACACACTACATGTTACTGTCACATTCTCACTCACTACAACACACTACATGCTACTGTCACATTCTCACTCACTACAACACACTGCTCGCTACTGTCACATTCTCACTCACTACAACACACTACATGTTGCTGTCACATTCTCACTCACTACAACACACTACATGCTACTGTCACATTCTCACTCACTACAACACACTACATGCTGCTGTCACAGTCTCACTCACTACAACACACTACATGCTACTGTCACATTCTCACTCACTACAACACACTACATGCTACTGTCACATTCTCACTCACTACAACACACTACATGCTGCTGTCACATTCTCACTCACTACAACACACTACATGCTGCTGTCAACATTTCTCACTCACTACAACACACTACATGCTACTGTCACATTCTCACTCACTACAACACACTACATGCTACTGTCACATTCTCACTCACTACAACACACTACATGCTGCTGTCACATTCTCACTCACTACAACACACTACATGCTACTGTCACATTCTCACTCACTACAACACACTACATGCTGCTGTCACATTCTCACTCACTACAACACACTACATGCTGCTGTCACATTCTCACTCACTACAACACACTACATGCTACTGTCACATTCTCACTCACAACAACACACTGCTCGCTACTGTCACATTCTCACTCACTACAACACACTACATGCTGCTGTCACATTCTCACTCACTACAACACACTGCTCGCTACTGTCACATTCTCACTCACTACAACACACTACATGCTACTGTCACATTCTCACTCACTACAACACACTACATGTTGCTGTCACATTCTCACTCACTACAACACACTACTGCTACTGTCACATTCTCACTCACTACAACACACTACATGCTACTGTCACATTCTCACTCACTACAACACACTGCTCGCTACTGTCACATTCTCATCACATACAACACACTGCTCGCTACTGTCACATTCTCACTCACTACAACAAACTACATGCTACTGTCACATTCTCACTCACTACAACACACTACATGCTACTGTCACATTCTCACTCACAACAACACACTGCTCGCTACTGTCACATTCTCACTCACTACAACACACTACATGCTACTGTCACATTCTCACTCACTACAACACACTACATGCTACTGTCACATTCTCACTCACTACAACACACTACATGCTACTGTCACATTCTCACTCACTACAACACACTGCTCGCTACTGTCACATTCTCACTCACTACAACACACTGCTCGCTACTGTCACATTCTCACTCACTACAACAAACTACATGCTACTGTCACATTCTCACTCACTACAACACACTACATGCTACTGTCACATTCTCACTCACAACAACACACTGCTCGCTACTGTCACATTCTCACTCACTACAACACACTACATGCTACTGTCACATTCTCACTCACTACAACACACTACATGCTACTGTCACATTCTCACTCACTACAACACACTGCTCGCTACTGTCACATTCTCACTCACTACAACACACTACATGTTGCTGTCACATTCTCACTCACTACAACACACTACATGCTACTGTCACATTCTCACTCACTACAACACACTACATGCTGCTGTCACATTCTCACTCACTACAACACACTACATGCTACTGTCACATTCTCACTCACTACAACACACTACATGCTACTGTCACATTCTCACTCACTACAACACACTACATGCTGCTGTCACATTCTCACTCACTACAACACACTACATGCTGCTGTCACATTCTCACTCACTACAACACACTACATGCTACTGTCACATTCTCACTCACTACAACACACTACATGCTACTGTCACATTCTCACTCACTACAACACATTACATGCTGCTGTCACATCTCACTCACTACAACACACTACATGCTACTGTCACATTCTCACTCACTACAACACACTACATGCTGCTGTCACATTCTCACCACTACAACACACTACATGCTGCTGTCACATTCTCACTACTACAAACACTACTGCTACTGTCACATTCTCACTCACAACAACACACTGCTCGCTACTGTCACATTCTCACTCACTACAACACACTACATGCTGCTGTCACATTCTCACTCACTACAACACACTGCTCGCTACTGTCACATTCTCACTCACTACAACACACTACATGCTACTGTCACATTCTCACTCACTACAACACACTACATGTTGCTGTCACATTCTCACTCACTACAACACACTACATGCTACTGTCACATTCTCACTCACTACAACACACTACATGCTACTGTCACATTCTCACTCACTACAACACACTACATGCTACTGTCACATTCTCACTCACTACAACACACTACATGTTGCTGTCACATTCTCACTCACTACAACACACTACATGCTACTGTCACATTCTCACTCACAACAACACACTGCTCGCTACTGTCACATTCTCACTCACTACAACACACTACATGTTGCTGTCACATTCTCACTCACTACAACACACTACATGCTACTGTCACATTCTCACTCACAACAACACACTGCTCGCTACTGTCACATTCTCACTCACTACAACACACTACATGTTGCTGTCCACATCTCACTCACTACAACACACTACATGCTACTGTCACATTCTCACTCACAACAACACACTACATGCTACTATCACATTCTCACTCACTACAACACACTGCTCTCTACTGTCATATTCTCACTCACTACAACACACTGCTCTCTACTGTCATATTCTCACTCACTACAACACACTGCTCGCTACTGTCACATTCTCACTCACTACAACACACTACATGCTACTGTCACATTCTCACTCACTACAACACACTACATGTTGCTGTCACATTCTCACTCACTACAACACACTACATGCTACTGTCACATTCTCACTCACAACAACACACTACATGCTACTGTCACATTCTCACTCACTACAACACACTACATGCTACTGTCACATTCTCACTCACAACAACACACTACATGCTACTGTCACATTCTCACTCACTACAACACACTACATGCTACTGTCACATTCTCACTCACTACAACACACTACATGTTGCTGTCACATTCTCACTCACTACAACACACTACATGCTACTGTCACATTCTCACTCACAACAACACACTACATGCTACTATCACATTCTCACTCACTACAACACACTACATGCTACTATCACATTCTCACTCACTACAACACACTGCTCTCTACTGTCACATTCTCACTCACAACAACACACTGCTCGCTGCTTTCACATTCTCACTCACTACAACACACTACATGCTACTGTCACATTCTCACTCACTACAACACACTACATGCTACTGTCACATTCTCACTCACTACAACACACTACATGCTACTGTCACATTCTCACTCACTACAACACACTACATGCTACTGTCCACATTCTCACTCACTACAACACACTACATGCTACTGTCACATTCTCACTCACTACAACACACTACATGCTACTGTCACATTCTCACTCACTACAACACACTACATGCTACTGTCACATTCTCACTCACTACAACACACTACATGCTACTGTCACATTCTCACTCACTACAACACACTACATGCTACTGTCACATTCTCACTCACTACAACACACTACATGCTGCTGTCACATTCTCACTCACTACAACACACTGCTCGCTGCTGTTACATTCTCACTCACAACAACACACTACATGCTACTGTCACATTCTCACTCACTACAACACACTACATGCTACTGTCACATTCTCACTCACTACAACACACTACATGCTACTGTCACATTCTCACTCACTACAACACACTACATGCTACTGTCACATTCTCACTCACAACAACACACTGCTCGCTACTGTCACATTCTCACTCACTACAACACACTACATGCTACTGTCACATTCTCACTCACTACAACACACTACATGCTACTGTCACATTCTCACTCACTACAACACACTACATGTTACTGTCACATTCTCACTCACTACAACACACTACATGCCACTGTCACATTCTCACTACAACAGAACATTTTTTCCTGGCCGTGACCTGACCTGACTAGGTTACGGCATTGGCATAAGCCGGTAGGAGAATCGGACCTGCCTCGCATGGACCAGTAGGCCTGTTGCAGTGTTCCTTCTTTCTTATGTCTTTATGTTTACATCAGTTTAGCTGCTGTCAATGTCACACTTTACTATAGGATATCAAGTGACATCACATAAATATGATGTGACACCTGACAATAACTGCACTGGACAATATCTGCACTGGACGAAACCTGTACTCGACAATACTTGCACTGGACAACATATGCACTGGATAGTAAGTGGAATGGACGCTACCTGCACTGGACAATATCTGCACCAGACAATACCGCACTGGACAACACCTGCACTAGATAATTCCAGCACTGGACAGTACATGCACTGGACGATACGTGCACTGGACAACACCTGTACTGAACAATACATGCCCTGGACAACACCTGTACTGAACAATACTTGCACTGGACAACATATGCACTGGATAGTAAGTGGAATGGACGCTACCTGCACTGGACAATATCTGCACCAGACAATACCGCACTGGACAACACCTGCACTAGATAATTCCAGCACTGGACAGTACATGCACTGGACGATACGTGCACTGGACAATACCTGGACTGGACAACACCTGTACTGAACAATACATGCACTGGACAACACCTGTACTGAACAATACCTGCACTGGACAACAGCTGTTGGTGGCTCACAACACTCAGGTAAGGCTGCGTTTACCACAACATTCACATTAACGAAACACTAAAACCATAATTATCTTACTTTATGTCTCATGAACCACATTACGTAACACATTTTGGTTTTGTTTAGCTTGTTCATAACTAAGCTAACTAGATAACTATGCTAAGCTAACTAGATAAATACTGTTGATATTTTTTACTTCGTTTCTCTACCTTTCAAATGAGCAAATTATCCAGAATGAGGTGAATGTAAGAGATGGAAGATAAAATATGAATTCATTCAGCTCTCTTGTCAATAAAATGGCGCACACTCTCAGACACATTAAGACTTGAAAATTAAAGCCAGTTACTCTAACAGGAATACAAGAATAAAATAATTATATTAGGTTTAAGTAAACTGTATCGATTAAAAAAAAATCTTCTAATTGTAAGCATTACAAGGATTCACTGAAATTTCTCTGAGGTCCCTACAGGCAACCCGGTAATTTCAAAAAAGATTTGTGTAAAAAGGCTCTGAAGCTTTGAGCAGTTAAAATGTGCTCCGTGGTCAGCAGGACATTACAAGCCACACACAGAGAAGCAGAACCACCTGCAAGCAGGTGGCTTTGAGTGTGATGTATACGGTCTATTTGCAGTCTACATATTATCTTCCGATAGCGATCATTCCAGCTGAGGGAGGAGAGCCAAACACACACACACACACACCAAGTCAAACTCTGAATAAACTGTTGTTTTTGTCTGTAGGGTCAATCAGGGAAATCACTTCATAGACATATAGAGCTTTGAAGCCCTCGAAGTTTTTCTGAGGTAGAAGAGACCGCTTGAAAGTGTGTGATATAGCAGCCTCCACCTCAGCGTCCCTACAGGAAGAAGCAATGAATATTTTATGCGGATGATAGTAACACTGTTTTCCAATGCCTGTCGTGGGTAGTTTTGCACTCGATCTCTTCCGTTCGTGGAAAGTTAAAGTGAGATGCCTGTAAGTCTGTATAAGGATTACTACAATACACGGGAACTCTCACACTTCAGCGCTGTTGACGGGAAAGTCTGTGTACATCTTCATCAAACTGTCTTCCTTTATCTCTCTCTCTCTCTCTCTCTCTCTCTCTCTCTCTCTCTCTCTCTCTCTCTCTCTCTCTCTCTCTCTCTCTCTCTCTCTCTCTCTCTCTCTCTCTCTCTCTCTCTCTCCTCTCTCTCTCTCTCCTCTCTCCCTCTTCTTTACATAGGGTTTGACAAGGTTAGGTTGACGATCCCTAACTTTATTGACTAGCTGTTTACCAGTTAAGGATCCCTAACTTTATTGACAAACTAAGAGCTGTTACCTACATCAACTCATTTGAAAGCATTTTTATTGTTATGAAATATACAAGTAGACAACAGGATGAAGTTGGAGCCATCTGTGGGCCAGCATTTGATCAACTGATTTTATCGCGTTGATATCATTATGCTCTCTCTCTCTCTCACACACACACACACATACACACACACACACACACACACACACACACACACACACACACACACACACACACACACACACACACACCATACACACACACACACACACACACACATACACACACATACACTCACTCACCGACTACAGACATGTTGACGGCGTGATCGTCAGTCTCGAAGTAAGGCTTGTCGCCCATTACCTCGCAGCGGAAGGTGCCCGAGGTTCCCCGCGTCACCCCTGTCAGCCGCACTGATGCCCCAGAGCTCCCTTGCTCCTGTAGAAAGTATAGCATAATGACAGAGTTGTTCAGCTCCTGTAGAAGGTACAGTAACACATTAATATAGCTTTCCTGCTCCTGTAGAAGGAACAGCCATAGTAGAGCGACTACGTCGTCTACATATACTACCTGGAAGTGAATCTGAAGAGGAGTACAGAAAAGGGGAAGAAAGTAAAGCTTTCTACGAGATACAGGATTATACACAGATCAGAACTGTCCACAGTACTGTATGAAAAGGAAATGGAAGGAATAGAACTCAGCCTCTCTTGTCTGTTACAACGCGCACCAGTAAAGAGTGAATTTAACGCTACTGGTCAGTTAGAAGCTCTCATTACTGCGTTAAAAAGACCTGTTCATCGTTACACGAACTGCTGACGACCATCCATGTAAATAATGTGTACTCATCTGTTTGTGTCTGCAAGAATTCCACTCACCACTCATGTGGCCGGAACTCTCATACCTAATCTTGGTTGTTACAAGCGTGCTTAAGGGGTTACAACAAGCATACCCAGGAGGTTGATACAAGCATACCTGGGAACTGGTACAGGCATCTCCAGAGGATTGACACAAGTTTGATACAGGAATACGTAAGTGGTTGGTACATGAATACTTAGGAGATTGGTACATGTATTTCCAAGGGGCTGATAGGTATACACAAAGGAATAAGGACAAGCATAACCTAATGGGCAGGGAGCACACTCACGTCTACGTGTATGTGGGGCAGCGGGTAGACCCGGACGGGCTGGTCCCTCTTGGGTATATACTCGTAGAACTGATTGACATCTTTGTACCACTTGACGGAGTAGAGCGGGTCTGGTCGGTCGGTGGTGTGCTCGTAGTGACACACTAGTTGCACCGCCGATCCTGACACCACCACTGACGGTACCGTCACTCCAGACACCCGCAGACTCCAGCCTGTACGAACACCACCGAGGAACAGTGAGGTTCATTCTACTGAGGAGAAGGAGGAAGTAGTGGGAGAAAAGGTAGTAGTGGAGGTTGTGGGAGAGGTAACGGAGACGTGATGGAGGTAGAAGACAGGACGAAGGTGGTGCTGGGAAAGGAAATGGAAGTGGTGAGGAGGCTGTGAGATTGTGTGGAAATATTATGTGAAAATATCGATAAGATGGAAAGACTGGTCAGGATGATCTGGTCAGATATTTGCTTTATAATGTCGCATATCTTGACTCCATCTCATAGCAGCTTCGTTGAAGTGGAGCGTTGATAAACACAACTTGAGTCTTCTGGTTCTGAAACTCTGAATTACAGCGGTTTGTAAGCATTGTTCTTCTGTATTACTGTATGATAAATAACTTAACGTTGTTGAATTCATTGCGTCGGCGTGGAGTGCTGCAACGATTACACATGAAACATTAATGGAGATACAGACAAGATTTAAAAAAAAAAATGTAGATGTGCCTTAGCCATCTGTATAATTCATTACAACGAACATGAATATATCATGGCTAGGAAAAGATACAGAAGAAAATGTATAGAGAAGGATGTAATTCAGTTCTGACACTGTGGAATATAATAAAGGGGTATTTAAAATCTTTCCACTAGGACCCAAGTGGCGTAGTGCCAACAAGAGTGAAAGAAAAGAGAGGCTACAGAGCAAGTTTTCACTGGGACAACGTTCCTCTCAGTAAAGAGTATTCTGAAGTCATATGACTATGGAAGGACTAGATAAAACTCTAAACAGAACAAAACGTGTTAATAAAACCTTGCTCAACAATGGCTGTCTTTTCTTAGCGTCGCTTCACTTCTTGCAGAACTACTAACTAGGCGGAAGTTGAGTACGAAACAACATAAAGCAACCAGACTTGATCCTTAGCTTACCTCACTTTCTCTCGCCCTCCCTGCAAGTTCCTACACTTCCTCTTTCTCTACTGTAACTGGATATACATACTTGCATTTTAGTCTTTCAGTGCGCTTGATGAAGTTCCTCATTGAAGCTATGTTTACATCAGCAGCTTATCTCTCCCGAGATGTTTATCTTAAGAATCTCGTACAACAACAGTGGATTATCAGACACATCAGGCGTCCTCGGGGTAATGTAACGCACAAAGGTTCCTTCAACTATATTGGAGGAACACACATTGGCTCCTTCAGTTAAATTAGAGTACCACACTCACCCTTGGCTATAAAACTCACCCGTGTCTGTCAGTGCCAAAAGCAGGAGGAGGAGGGCGGCTGCGGCGGCAGAAGCGGCGGGGGGCGGCGGCTGCAGGTGGTGGCACGCCATCCTGAGGCAGAGGACCTTGTCTTCACGCTCCCCCAGCACGCGCCTACCCTGGAATTTCAAAAATTAAACAATATTATATATATAATATATAAAATTATTATATATATATATATATATATATAATATTTATATATATTTTTTATTTTATGTATGTATGTATATATATATATATATATATATATATATATATATTATAATTTTAATATTTTAATATATATATATATATATATATATATATATATTTTATATATACATATACATACAATTATATTATTGATTGAACTTTGTATAGAAAGGGGTTTAGTTATAGGTAATACATATTTTAAGAAAAAGAGGAAAAAATAAGTATACACGATATGATGTAGGGCGAAATGACAGTAGTTTGTTGGATTATGTATTGGTAGATAAAAGACTGTTGAGTAGACTTCAGGATGTACATGTTTATCGAGGGGCCACAGATATATCAGATCACTTTCTAGTTGTAGCTACACTGAGAGTAAAAGGTAGATGGGATACAAGGAAACAGAAGCATCAGGGAAGAGAGAGGTGAAGGTTTATAAACTAAAAGAGGAGGCAGTTAGGGTAAGATATAAACAGCTATTGGAGGATAGATGGGCTAATGAGAGCATAGGCAATGGGGTCGAAGAGGAATGGGGTAGGTTTAAAAATGTAGTGTTAGAGTGTTCAGCAGAAGTTTGTGGTTGCAGGAAAGTGGGTGCAGGAGGGAAGAGGAGCAAATTGGTGGAATGATGATGTAAAGAGAGTAGTAAGGGAGAAAAAGTTAGCATATGAGAAGTTTTTACAAAGTAGAAGTGATGCAAGGAGGGAAGAGTATATGGAGAAAAGAGAGAGGTTAAGAGAGTGGTGAAGCAATGTAAAAAGAGAGCAAATGAGAGAGTGGGTGAGCTGTTATCAACAAATTTTGTTGAAAATAAGAAAAAGTTTTGGAGTGAGATTAACAAGTTAAGGAAGCCTAGAGAAACAAATGGATTTGTCAGTTAAAAATAGGAGAGGAGAGTTATTAAATGGGAGAGTTAGAGGTATTGGGAAGATGGAGGGAATATTTTGAGGAATTGTTAAATGTTGATGAAGATAGGGAAGCTGTGATTTCGTGTATAGGGCAAGGAGGAATAACATCTTGTAGGAGTGAGGAAGAGCCAGTTGTGAGTGTGGGGGAAGTTCGTGAGGCAGTAGGTAAAATGAAAGGGGGTAAGGCAGCCGGGATTGATGGGATAAAGATAGAAATGTTAAAAGCAGGTGGGGATATAGTTTTGGAGTGGTTGGTGCAATTATTTAATAAATGTATGGAGAGGGTAAGGTACCTAGGGATTGGCAGAGAGCATGCATAGTTCCTTTGTATAAAGGCAAAGGGGATATAAAGAGAGTGCAAAAATTATAGGGGGATAAGTCTGTTGAGTGTACCTGGTAAAGTGTATGGTAGAGTTATAATTGAAAGAATTAAGAGTAAGACGGAGAATAGGATAGCAGATGAACAAGGAGGCTTTAGGAAAGGTAGGGGGTGTGTGGACCAGGTGTTTACAGTGAAACATATAAGTGAACAGTATTTAGATAAGGCTAAAGAGGTCTTTGTGGCATTTATGGATTTGGAAAAGGCGTTATGACAGGGTGGATAGGGGGGCAATGTGGCAGATGTTGCAAGTGTATGGTGTAGGAGGTAGGTTACTGAAAGCATTGAAGAGTTTTTAACGAGGATAGTGAGGCTCAAGTTAGAGTATGTAGAAAAGAGGGAAATTTTTTCCCAGTAAAAGTAGGCCTTAGACAAGGATGTGTGATGTCACCATGGTTGTTTAATATATTTATAGATGGGGTTGTAAGAGAAGTAAATGCGAGGGTCTTGGCAAGAGGCGTGGAGTTAAAAGATAAAGAATCACACACAGGGTGGGAGTTGTCACAGCTGCTCTTTGCTGATGACACTGTGCTCTTGGGAGATTCTGAAGAGAAGCTGCAGAGATTGGTGGATGAATTTGGTTAGGGTGTGCAAAAGAAGAAAATTAAAGGTGAATACAGGAAAGAGTAAGGTTATGAGGATAACAAAAAGATTAGGTGATGAAAGATTGAATATCAGATTGGAGGGAGAGAGTATGGAGGAGGTGAACGTATTCAGATATTTGGGAGTGGACGTGTCAGCGGATGGGTCTATGAAAGATGAGGTGAATCATAGAATTGATGAGGGAAAAAAGAGTGAGTGGTGCACTTAGGAGTCTGTGGAGACAGAGAACTTTGTCCTTGGAGGCAAAGAGAGGAATGTATGAGAGTATAGTTTTACCAACGCTCTTATATGGGTGTGAAGCATGGGTGTGATGAATGTTGCAGCGAGGAGAAGGCTGGAGGCAGTGGAGATGTCATGTCTGAGGGCAATGTGTGGTGTGAATATAATGCAGAGAATTCGTAGTTTGGAAGTTAGGAGGAGGTGCGGGATTACCAAAACTGTTGTCCAGAGGGCTGAGGAAGGGTTGTTGAGGTGGTTCGGACATGTAGAGAGAATGGAGCGAAACAGAATAACTTCAAGAGTGTATCAGTCTGTAGTGGAAGGAAGGCGGGGTAGGGGTCGGCCTAGGAAGGGTTGGAGGGAGGGGGTAAAGGAGGTTTTGTGTGCGAGGGGCTTGGACTTCCAGCAGGCATGCGTGAGCGTGTTTGATAGGAGTGAATGGAGACAAATGGTTTTAATACTTGACGTGCTGTTGGAGTGTGAGCAAAGTAACATTTATGAAGGGATTCAGGGAAACCGGCAGGCCGGACTTGAGTCCTGGAGATGGGAAGTTACAGTGCCTGCACTCTGAAGGAGGGGTGTTAATGTTGCAGTTTAAAAACTGTAGTGTAAAGCACCCTTCTGGCAAGACAGTGATGGAGTGAATGATGGTGAAAGTTTTTCTTTTTCGGGCCACCCTGCCTTGGTGGGAATCGGCCAGTGTGATAATAAAAAAAAATAAAAATAATAATATATTATATATATTATATATATATATATATTATATTATATATATATATATATATATATATATATATATATTATATATATTATGTATTATATTATATATATATATATATATATATATATATATATTATATATTATTATATATTATATATATTTTATATATATCGCAGTCAGCATGACTCCATGCTATTACTACTACTGGGGACGGTCAAGATTCTCACGCAGCGCTCTAGTCCACTCAGCCACACACATATGCGATATAGACTGGGCAGCCTGGTTCACAAGCCATGTTTCTTCCCAGTCCGGGTACGTCAGCGAGCCTCAAGCATGGATTCAAGGTATTTCAATCTCCTCCTGTATGTTCTGATATAAAAATCGCTTGAGAGGTCAGAACATACAGGAGACAGAAATAGCTTAAATCCATGCTTGAGGCTGACTGACGTGCCCGGGCTAGGAAAGAAACATGACTTGTGAACCAGGCTGTCCAGTCTATGTGGCATTTGTGGCTGAGTGGATAAGAGTTCTGCCTAGGAATCTTGGCAGTCCCCAGTAGCAGCATCGAGTCCTGCTGACTGCGGTCTTTCTCTAAATATTCACGCTTGTTTCTGCGTGGTGTATATATCTATATCTATCTATATATATATATATATATATATATATATATATATATATATATATTATATATATTTATATATATATATATTATATTATATATATATATATTAATAAAGTTAGCCCGTAGCATAAAAATATAGGGGGTGGTAGGAGAAGAAAATATTCAAAAAGCTCCAGGGAACCTTGAGTTTTCCCTGAGGTACGTTTATTGTCTTCTCTGAGAATGAGGGTCCCCAGTAAAGTTATATATATATATATATATATATATATATATATATTATATATATATATATATCGTGCCGAATATTTAAAACTGGTCACTTAGCAAGAACTCATTTAAAATTAAGTCTTTTCTAAAATTGTCTCTTATGCTTTTAAAGATATGTATTTTTTTTTCATTTATGGTAATGTAAAAATTAATCATTTTTTCCAAAAGATCCTTAGAAAACGTACCTACCCTTATTACAACGAGCGCAATTTAATTTACACTGATCCAACTAAATATATTTTAGATCAGCTTACAATAATTTAATAATATACAAATACAATGAAATATATTTTTTTCATTGGGTTCAGAATATTTTTGCGAATTAATTGCATAAATAAATTTTCGCTTGCCTTATTCGGCAATAAGAGGTCTGACGGAAGTCAAAAGCATCCTGATGAAGCCACTATGCTACCCTGGAAGGATGGTAAGCAGATTGCCTGGGGTTACACCTGTGCAGCCACATTGGCAGACACTTACTTGCCATACGCCGAAGCTGAAGGCGGTGGAGCTGTCAACCACAGGGAGACCCAGAAGACCCGCAAATATGAAGGCCTTTCCCCTTACTATAACTTCATCCCAATAGGGTCGGAGATCCTTGGAACATGGGACAAGGGTGCTTTAAAGTTCCTCTAAGAGATGGGTGAAAAACTCATCATAGAAACCGAGGATCACAGGGCGGCCAGCTTCCTCTTTCAGAGACTCAGTGTTGCGATCCAGAGGGAAAATGTCTGCAGCATTCTGGTCACGCGGCCCACCGCCGGGGAGCTGGACGAAGTATTTGAGATGTAGCTCTGAGACGTTATCTACTATATTTTTCTATTCCCTATTGTGTTTTTTTGTCGATGTATTTTGTCTTTAAATAAAGTCTACATAGAATATAGAATATACGGGGTGGTAGAAGAAGACATTATTCTAAGAGCTCCAGGGATAACCTGGAGTTTTCCCTGAAGCAAGTTTATTCTTTTCTCTGAGGATAAGGGTCCCCAGCACGATTCTAGAGGTGGTACGTCCCTATATTTTTTTTATATATGTGTATGTATAAGAACTATTAGGAAAATAGAAGAAACTCAGATGAGTGTATATACATACATATGTACATGCATGGGTAGTGTAAGCAGAAGTAGCGAGACGTACCTGTTATCTTGCGTGTTTATCAGACAGAAAAAAAGACTCCAGTTATCCTACCATTGTGTAAAATAATTAGAAGT